GGGCCATCGGTCCTGATAGCATTCTTAGCATCGTTCACAGAGTAGTGATAAGGAGAGGATTCCAACATGAAATGACGATCACTGAGAATGATAAACTCGATAAATTTGACTTAGCTTAGCCTTCCTTTACTCTCTCAAAGTGGTCGTATACTTCGGGTTGTGACATTGTTCGACACAGTTGGGAGTCGGGTATAAGCCCTGATAGGCAATGACAGGTACTGCCTCAGCGGTCGCCGGCGGCGACTCGCCGCTACAGCTTACCTCCGGGCATTTGGGGTACTTGGTATCATTGATATGATGAGCGCATGGGGGGAAATCATACGGCCAGCACCCATCGTCTTTGGTCATATCATCTTTCGCAACGTAATCTCCACCTGAGCAGCGAAAGAAATGTTCTTTCACACTCTAAGATTTTGCAGCATATGTGAATATCGGAGATCCATTTTCCATGAATCAGCCCAGTGTACTGGGATAAGTCGTCCCAGACGATGCTACAACAGGAGTCATCGTCGCCGGCTCATCGCTGAGAACGACAGCGATCCGTGCCGGGATTATCATCATATTTCCCAGCGTCTACAGACTGTAGACGGGGGAGACCTACACTGTGGACTAAAGTGTGGGTCTCCCCTGTATTTATTCTGTAGACATGAATGGCTATCGAGTTGTCGAGGATAAGTCATAGCAGAGTCTGCTAAGCAGACTCGCCTCGGATTCCGAGACTCGTTTCGGTCGACTTCCCTCACCAGTTGCGATCCCTTTATCGTGCACCCAAGACCAGGCTGAGTAAGGATCTCCACCACCGCATCCGAAGAACCTGGGCAGTAAGTACCGATTGGAAAGCTCCCAGGCTAAGGCTTGCATCCTCGACTCACAGCGTACAAGCATTCATCTCGCCGGCCGATAGGAGCTCCGTGAACGCCCCATCCGACTTGATACATAGGCGGTCATTAAAGGCCTCAGTGACACCGAATGCCCAACAGCTCCCACAAGCTGACTGGTCTCTGGAGATCGAAGCAGCATTTTCTCACACAGTCGCCAGTTAGCTACCTGATGTGGCCGATAACCTTTGAGCAGTTGGGAAATGCGGTGCGAGCGTCGAAGTCAGTGGGGAGGTCTTGTAGCTCCTCTATAGCGTAGCCTTTTCTTATGTCGTTTGACCCTCTCTTCAATGTTCCACATAACATCCTAGCATCACGTAGGGAGAGGTCTGAGGAAAAGAAGACTGATGCTTCGACAAACACTTGGGAAGTAGAGCTACTCTTGAATCTTTTCTGCCCAGTCGACGCGGTCCATGTGTTCTGCTTGGAATTGATCTCGTCAACGAGGCTCTGCATGATGGCCGGTCTGGTCTCATCGTAGAGGACCGTCAAATCTTCAGTCGAGATGAGTTCGGACTGGATCCTCAACTCCTCCTCGAAACGAGCGAAATGCTGGGCTTCTTCTGCAGGAGTATAAACCAATCCTGAAGATGGGGAGTTGCTGTTGTTGCTCCAATGGGCTGTCG